CTCTGCATTTTCAGGTGTATGAGTGCGAACTGGAGGACGTCCCAGAATTCAAAGGGTTGACCGATTTCTGCAACACCTTCAAACTGCAGCGGGGCAAGAATGAAAATGGGGACAGTGACCCCACAGTGGTCGGAGAGTTCAAGGTAGGAACAATAACACTTTTAGCCTGCTACCAAAAACTGTGTCAGATTTTATTTTATTATATCTTTTTGTTAATTGAATGTAAAGCCATAAAGAGTCCCCTCGGCTCAGGACCAAGTCCAATTCTTTAAGGGGTCACGAAAAGTAAAATCCGATTCGTGTGTGTTCCCTCGTACCTGCAGGGTTCATTCAAGGTGTACCCTCTGCCAGACAACCCAGGTGTTGCTCCTCCTCCCCGGCAGTTCAGAGAGCTGCCAGACAGTGGACCTCAGGAGTGTCTGGTCAGGATTTACGTGGTGCGGGCCGTGGATCTGCAGCCCAAAGACAATAACGGCAGAGTGAGAATGAATAATCCATTACCTGCAATAAAAGCAGCATATTTCAACACGCACCAGTCTGCACCTGCTACTTAAACTTGTCTCCTCTCTCCTGCTCAGTGTGACCCATACATAAAGATATCACTGGGGAAGAATACCATTGAAGACAGAGACCATTACTTACCCAGCACCATCAGCCCTGTGTTTGGAAGGTAACATTCATAGAGAAATTATATAGACTGTAGATAATATAAATGGGAAGCCTATTGGACCTCCTCGCCTCTCAAACACTCTTTTGGTTTGTTTAGGATGTTTGAGATGACGTGTTTCCTGCCCCAGGACAAGGACCTGAAAATCTCTGTCTATGACTATGATCTCCTGACCCGTGACGAGAAGGTCGGCGAGACGGTGATCGACCTGGAGAACCGCTTCCTGTCCAGATATAACTCGTACTGTGGCCTGCCGCAAACATACTGCACGTAAGGAAACTCCACGGGCGAGGGGCAATCTCAAGGCTGAGGGGGAAATGAGGAAAAAACATACAGTGATGATCGGTCTCTCTCAACATCTCTCTCTTGCCATCTTAGTTCTGGTATTAACCAGTGGAGGGACCAGCTGAAGCCGTCTCAGATCCTGGAGAACCTGGCCCGTCTAAAAGGCCTGTCCAAACCCAGGACGGAAGACAACGGCAACTCGCTGACCTTCAATGGCAAAGTCTACACGCTGGCTCAGTTCGGTAATGTCGATGGTTTCATTTAATCAGAACTATTTTTCCTCAAGCTTCAGTGCCAAGTTACATTTCCACATAAATGAACATTTAATGTGGTAAAATGTTGATTATACGTTTATGGGATCAACCGTCTCCTGGCTCACACATCGTTTTCTCACTGTGTAACAAATGAGTGTGATGGAGTCTAACTTTGATTTGACTGTTGGTTAGTGAGAGTGAATCTTTTTCTTTCTTTTCTTTTTGCCCACATCTGATATGACTAGTATGATAAGTCTAATTAAGGTGCAAAATGTTTTCACATCCAGAGAACAACAAGGAAATTCATCAACACTTGGGTCCGGCCCGAGAGCGACTCAGTCTGCACGTGCTCAGAAAACAGGGACTAGTCCCTGAACATGTGGAGACCAGGACGCTTTACAGCAGCTTCCAGCCTAATCTCTCTCAGGTTAGATGTCTCCACTTACACATACCGTGTCTACACAATATATATCCGCGTACACTTCTTATGCAGCCGTTCTGTGTAACCTGTACATTGCGTTAATTCAGGGAAGGCTTCAGATGTGGGTGGATGTTTTCCCCAAAAGCATTGGCCTCCCCGGACCTCCCTTTGACATCACACCACGCAAGGCTAAGAAGTGAGTTCTGCGCGGCTCTTCAGCTCTTGGTCACGGGTCACACCGGACGCCAGCGAGCTAACATCCCCTGTGTTTGAATGTTCAGGTATTTCCTGCGCGCCGTCATCTGGAACACCACAGACGTGACTTTAGACGAGACGAGCATCACCGGAGAACACATGAGTGACATCTATGTCAAAGGGTACGCTTGTTAGCATTAAAGCTAACACTGGTGTCACATCTATCTCTGCAGTTGAGCTTTGAAAATTTCATTTTTGTCATCTTGCCTTTTCCTTTACAATCATTTCTAAAATCTTGTTTTAGCTGTTTTAATATGGTGATTTTGAACATGATACTGATTGACCTTTTGAAGCAAAACTGTACAGTAGAAGGTTACTGTGGAAAAGCACAGGGCGATGAATAATGACACCTGTTGCTCCCTGTGCCAGATGGATGCCAGGCATGGAGGAGGACAAGCAGAAGACCGATGTCCACTACAGGTCTCTGGACGGAGATGGCAACTTTAACTGGAGGTTCGTCTTTGACTTCGACTACCTGCCGGCTGAACAGCTCTGCCTCGTGTCCAAGAAGGTGAGGCTTGTCTGGACTTTTAGCTCATAGTTAAAATAAAACCATTTTAGATTTAAAAAAAAAAAAAAAAAAATGTCTGTATTGTTGAAATTGCTAATGTGAATCATGTTTTCACGTGTTCTTCCTGTTTCAACAGGAACACTTTTGGAGTCTTGACAAATCAGAGTTCAGGATTCCCCCCAAGCTGATTGTTCAAATATGGGATAATGACAAATTGTCGTTGGATGATTACCTTGGTAAGACACTTAGTTTAAAGTGGACCCAAGAAAACATAACTTTTTTTGTTTGATTTACCAAGAGACATGATAAAACCTGACCACCGTGCTCTGTGATCCCAGGCGCGCTGGAGCTGGATTTACGTGACCTGGTTGCTCCTGCGAAGACCCCAGAGAAGTGTTCTCTGGCCATGATGGATGTCGTGGAAATCGGAGCCCCACACAAGACGGAGCACGCCAAGTCTCTGTTTGCACAGCAGTCAGTCAGAGGCTGGTGGCCCTGTTCCATTGAAAAGGACGGGCAGAGCGTCCTGGGCGTAAGTATGAATAGAAAGTACACAGAGAGAGATGGATGCTTTTTTTTTTTTTTTAAGTAAACTGGCTTGTTCAAACCTGAACTATAGAGCAAATGAATGAGCGATAACAGGGTTGGAACAAGAAGAAGTTCCTCCTGCTCCAGTCTGCTAAAGGTGACTGAGAACAACAGAGGAAAACTGCAGTTGTCTTTTCTGAAATAAGGACATTTCCCTTCCCTGAGTTTTAGCACCAAAAGCTGAATTTTATATTCATTCTTTCTTAATGAAACATTTATAAGTTGTTCACAGAAGCCTGATGAATAGATTCTGCTCCGTTTTGAATCTCGTGAAAGTGTTGGAGGTCCTTGTTGTCGCGTCGTGCTCAGTGTGTCTGCTTGTCCTGTGTCTGTAGGGCAAAGTGGAGATGACACTGGAGATTGTAAGTGAAGCAGATGCAGACGGGAAACCTGCAGGAAAAGGCAGGGACGAGCCCAACATGAACCCAAAACTGGACCCTCCCAAGTAAGAACTCAGAGGAATGACTGTGAAACGTATTGCACAGATTATTGTGCAGATTGAACCTCTGAAAATGTATCCACACTTTTCTTTCATTCTCCCTAACCACCAGACGCCCGGACACGTCCTTCTTCTGGTTCACCAACCCATGTAAGACCATGAAGTTCATTGTGTGGAGAAGGTTCAGGTGCCTCTTCATCGGACTCATCCTCCTCCTCATAGTGGTTCTCTTCCTCGCCATCCTGTTGTACTCTTTACCGGTAAGGACGGACGGCTGAATAACATTAGTCATATCTTCTGAAATCATTACGTTCATTGAAGAATTTGAACTTGTGGGGCAGGTGAAAATTGTGAAGGAGTGTGTGTGTGTGTGTGTGTGTGTGTGTGTACTCAGTGATTTGATTGTTGGTTTTCCTCTTTCAGAACTACATCTCAATGAAGATTGTGAACCCTCTAAAATAACGAGACAATGGAGGAGGAGCAGTGGAACTCTAAAGGACAATACAAAATGTCTTCCGGATCGCACTCCTGATCACAACTACCACCAAACCATCTCAATATCTTTATTTTTTTTTAATGTCTCCGGGCCGGCAAACTTCCACAGGCATTAGGTTTTCACATTGTCTGTCCCATTCTCGTGAACCCGATATCTTAGTAACGCCTTGAAGGAATTTCTTGTGGCACAAACATCCACTTGGACGAAAGGATGAACTGATTAGAACTTGGAGGTCAAAGGTCACTGTGACCCTGTCAGAACTCACAAATTCATATACTAATTATTAACACAATTTAACACGAACGTGACATTTTATATCCAACACTTCTGGCCATTATTCAGCTTTCACTCAGGAGCAGGAGATTGGGACTATATTTCCTGCAGCTTGGCCGGTCGGCGGAGGCACACAACCACGAGGCGGTTATTTTAGTTTTCTTACTGCGTTTAGTATTTTATAAATGGGGGAAGGGGTGCTTGCACTTTTGCACTATATCACTGTATTTTACCATGAACACTTTGTCCACAACACTAAACTGTGACAGACTTGTGAACAACACATGAGGAACTGCACATCTGTGATTTGTTTCCAACCCACTGCTTTTATCACACAAACACACACACACACACACACACACACACACACTGAGTGACCAGATGAATAGGACTCCCTGTACAATGCAATGCAATCTGATATCACAAGTTTTATTTGTTAGGGACACTGTGGGCAAAAAGTATTGATTCAGTTTTTAGTGGTATTTAGTGGTTATGTTGTACTGGATTGCACAATAATGTAAGATGTTTGTAATATTTATGCACACTGTTTGGAAATGAGGTGACACACAACTACAGTTTCACTATATTATTTGACAGTTCTATCAGCTAGTGTTACAATGTACAAGGGTTTCCATCTTTATCACTCAGTGTAATCCTGCCAAATACAACCGCAGGAGGATTTTAAGTTACCAACAGTCTGTCTGTCTTTTGTCTAATACATAATATGTATAATATATTAAACAATATTCAAGAAACAGGTGTCTGTTTATCAATGGGGAAAATGTGTCTGAAAGCGCAGTATGAGCAGCACGACTCTGAGAGGGTGATTTTTATTAAGAATTTTTCATTGTGTGTCTAAATGGCAGGTTGTTGTGCCCTTGAGCCAGGCACTTACAGTAATATAGTTCCTACGTGTAAAATAAAAAAACGGGAAAAAAATGAATGAAACTATGATCACAGAAAAAAAAGGTTTAACAGTGGATGTTTTCAATTAATAAAAACAGTACATGACATTTAACATTCAGATATGTACAGCACATGTACCGAAGTCCATTTTATATACATGTTCATATGAACAATTTATTTCTTACATGTCCTTTAGTGTTTACCACAAAATATGGATATTTAAGACCTGAACTCCTCATTGGTTTCTAAACGCATCGTTTCCTTTAGCAAATATAAAATATTTGTATTGAGCTATTGCTGAGTTTATTCTTCTGAGGTGTGATGTTTGCAGTGCCGCTGCAGGAACGCCTCCACCTCTCCTCTCCGAGCCAGGCTGTTGGCTTTGCCTTGGAAACGTCCGTTCTTCCCTGCCCCCTTCCCTTGGAGCATCTCTAACACCCTGGAGAGCACAGGGAAGCATGCAGTGTCAACCCGCATCAACATTTTTAACAGTGGAAGCTAAATATACTGTATGTATATGGTGGCGTCTCTTACTGTGGTCCCGTCTCAGTCACTGGTCCACTGGGTCCAGCCAGTAGAAACAAACCAGGTCCCTTTTCTTCTCCAACAGTGAGGAAAACCAAAGTTTCCTAAGAGAAGAAGAAAACAAAGCTTAACAAAAATATTTAACTGCAAATACCAAGACCTAAACAGTCAGGCTGAGATCTTACCTCTGTGTTTATTTCATTGGCAATGATATTCATGAACTCGTTGTCACCCTCTTTTCTATAGAGAGAAAAAGAAAAACACCTGAACTTGATGGTTGTGCTTCAGACCTGATGAGGTCTGAGTCATTGCTGTGCATTTTTAAAACGTTTGACATGGGGACACTGTATAGTGCTGTACCTACAAACGAGGAATCTCTTGGGAATTTCTTACTTGTGCAAGCTGAAGAAGTTGCCTCTCTGGGGATTGTTCTTAAAGTTCTGCGCGATGAGGACAGCCATGTCTCGTAGCAGGCTCAGGTTAGTCTGCCAAACACATTTTTATGATGGTTAGGGAGTCTATCTGCAATGTGATTCAGTATTTGCCAAATGGAAGGGATTTAAAATTTAAAAATGAGCTCTCTATAATTAATGACCTCTTCTGGCAACTAGCAGGAATTACAACATTAATTCTCAAGCACCACTGACGGAAGAGATTCTCTTACTTTCTGTAGAAGTTTAACAGACTTCTGCAGCTTGTCAACTGCCTCAACATGCTCATCAGGGCCCGTTCTGTTGAACAACAACAAGGATTTTTTTCACGTCAAACTTGCTGAATTAGTTTAATCATTTATATTGATCATTTATACTTTGAACTTACTTCAGAAGAGACACCAGTGAGCGCTCTGTGCTGTAGCTTTTCTCTGCGTACTTCAGTACCCTGTTTCCTGCCAGGAAGATCAGGTTGGTTTTGTTTTTCTTTCCTTTCTCAGTTCCCAGAAGCTTTATTACCTAAAATTCAAATAAAGCAAAATGAAGCACGCAATTCCCAATGTTACAAATATGACATGAACATGTGTAAAATAACATGTATACAATTCAGAAGCATTAAAAATGATCCAAAAGTTACACATCCAAGTGTTTGTGTATCAGCATGTCTGCATGAAGTCGTACCTGTAAGTGACTGAGGTTAGACACATGGGTCCCACAGCACATGTTGGCATCGACGCCCTCGATATCAATGATCCGAATCGGCCCTGCATGGTCCTCTGGCAGCCCTCGACTCCTCACCTGGTTCGCACACAAACACGCATTTCATTTCATTTTTCCTTTCAAAACCTTGACTTTTGAGCCATTGATTGCAGAGTAAGAGGACTGTTTTAGCAGCAGCGAGTACATTACGCGTACCTTTTCCACTGCAGGGTCATCTATAGAGAGAAGCTGAACAGTGACAGGAACATGAGCTCTGATCCTCTCATTAATGGCTTCCTCCAGGGCCTGGAGCTGAGCAGGCTTCACACAGGGAGTGTCCAGCTCAATGGTGCTTCTCTGACGCCCCAGGTCCCTGAATTATAAAAATATAGAAGACAGGTGAACCCACGGGTCTTTAATATTTACAGAAAAAGGAATCTGTGCAGAGGTGAAGTACCAAGATGTGGTTTTGTATCCAAACATTGTATCTGCCAGTGCTGTGATCAAATGTTGACCTAAGAGTCAGGAAGAAAACAAATGTAGCTTAGAACAATTGTGTAATAATATATGATCACAATCAGTCCCTGAGCTTATCTGTTTAGTGGTCCTTACCTGAGTGTTGCTGCATGTGATCAAACCTCCTCTCCCAGTCCACCTTCACCTGCACCTCCTGACCCACCTCCAGAGGTGAACTCACAAAGTGTACTGCTTCTGGTCCCTGCCTTGTCACCCTCAAAACTGGGACATCTCCGATCAGCCCGTGGTCGTCTGGCTGAAGGAAGACACAACATACCACGTCAAGTTTAAGAATAATACTGTATAGTATGGCTTTCCATGACTTCTGATACAAAGGAGCAACATGAAACTTCTGCTCATACAATTTGCTTCTTGTAGAAATTGAAATGGATTATAATTAATATTTTGGGAGGAAAAACTGCTTACTTGTCCACCTCCCTCGGGAAACAAGATGGTGTCTTGGAGCTTGACATTGAACCCCTTAAGAGTTTCTTTCTTTCCATTGACTTCGTGCTTTAATTCAGCTGGGCTGCAGGACACTACAGAGGTAACAAACTAAAGGGGAAATGAAACATGAAATGAAAACTTATAGGAGGAGTGGGGCTGGTGGAAGTGGGTGTGAGATTTCACCGTTTTATGAAGGTCTGGGTTTTGCACAGATGTCGATCACCAACAACGTGTGAATTTGCATTAGTGCTTTTAAAACCATAAGAAACTGTGTAAAAGGTAAAATTCACCATTACCGCTGCATTACCGGCTACATTTACACTGAGCTTAAAATGACATCAACAATATAAGCAGATACAATGCGGTTATCACATCATAGTAACCTTAATCAATCCCAAATCTACAGTCTACAATTATAAGTAGTTAGCTACAGTGCTAGCCGGCTGGTGCTTTGAGTACAGTGTCATTAGCAAACATGCTAACCACTTCTGCAGAGAAGGAATGTTAAACTTCGCCAGGTTTTTTGCATATTACGAAACAGTTTATCGCTGGTGAACTGTCTGAAAACAGTGTCATACCTCTTTCATATAGCAGTCCCGTTGACACTGAAAAGCCATTGTGGAGTGTTTTAGAGGAAAAACTGTGCCTGTAACCAACACGAGTCACCACCAGATACAACTGACTACAGTACAGCTGTCAGCTTAGTACGGGTACCAAGAGAGTCCAAACTTAATTACACCGACTTGGGTGTCTTCGACTTTTCTTTCTTTCTTTCTTTCTTTTGAAAATCACGTAAATGCTATGTAAAAGGAATGTCAGAGATTGAGAACTTTATTGTTTATACTTTTTATTGTTCAGAGATATAATTTTGTTTTAGGACAACGTTCATAAAACATGCAAGACATGTATTAATATATAATATGAACACGTGCTAGAACTTATTACACAAGCTACTACAAAATACAGTGTATATAAAATGATCAAACCTGGGGTACATCAAACCATCACCATCCACTAAAGTGGTTTAAAACATCATTAACCATGACTCACTGTTATATAAATGAAATATAATCTGCTGATGTATCATGAGCATTTAAAGCATTTCTTGTAATTAAATGAGTTGTCAGTGCATTAACACATCTGCACATAGAATAAAATGAGGAATGAATGAAAGGGGGCAGCATCCTTACTGCTGAATCACTGCCACCTTCTGGAGTTGATGAAACTAAGAGAAATGTTCTTCAATTGTCACTAAACCTTTTATTCACTGACCTGTTAACATAAAATATATTACCCCAAGCACTATAGCACCAAATCATGGTTGATAAAATGTATTTTATTAAAACTGGCGATGATACGTCAGCGTACAGGGCACAAAAATATGTCAATAAATAATCTCATAGAAAATATTACATAAAACAGTATTTTGGACAGTAACACATCAGATCATCAGCAAATATTACAAGTTTCAGTGAACACAGAGGAGGAGGCAGTGAGTCTCAGTCAGACTGTAGGGGTAAAAAGAAGAAAGTGATCAATATCAACATTTAAACAATCAATACATGAAAGAGTGTTTGATTTTTCCAGTTGCATCCCAGCTTGCAAATATCACTTGGAATGAATAAATGCTGTGCATGTCTCGGAGTTTGAATGAGTTTTAGTCATCAGAGTTACTGTAAAACCAGTTGGTTTCATGGACTACAATTTTAACCATTGGTCTATTTGCAATTCCCCATATTTTAAAAGTAAGCAGAACTCTGCACTTACATCACTGAGATCACCCATATCCGGTGTTTCTCCTTTATTGCCGGTAGCCATCTCTGAGATCATCTGAAAAAGGAAACCCAGGTGTTTACACAGACACACACACACCTACGGTGGGGTCTGAAAGTCTGAGACCACTTTCCCATTATTGAGGATTCCAAACCATCAGGGAATCATGCTCAGTTTCCTGTCAGAATTTCTTTGATCTTATCACTTCACTTACGTCCATGTATCTATCGTACTCTTCCTTTCCCTCATCCTCTTCATGCTCCCAGTCTCTCCAGTTATCAAAGTCCACAGAAATCCAACTGGCCTGCAAAAAAGAAGGTGATAGAAGGTGAAACAACACAATTCAAAATATTGCTTAACCAGAAGAAGCTGACAGAGGAGCACCCTGCGTCATGGATATACTGTCACACACCTTCCCATCTTTACTGCTACTCAAAATGCTGAGGATTAATTGTGTTGCCCACTATTACAGAAGCTTTGAATGAGTTCATTTTTTAACTGATACCGACAAACATCTAGTGTCGAGACCATGTCTGACACAACAATCTCAGCAACTTAAAACTCCATTATTCCTGGGTTCATGAGACTTTTCAGAACTAAATGTAGGACAAGATAAAACCTTTTGACTGATCAATTTAAACACACACAGATTTACCTTAGCAGCATCCTTCTGGAGACGAGGCCATGCGTAATCAGGCTTCATCTTCCTCAGCAACACATTGATGGTGCGGTCATACACTCTTTCTCTGGAGTCCTTTTAAAAACAAATTTATATTTAATGTCACAATGACTGTACAGTTCAGCATACAGCATATAAAATGAGTTATATCCCATCATGCCTTAAATTGAATGCTTACATGGATTTGGACTTTGTCGTAGAAGTACAGCTCATTGTAGTACACGTCATCTGTGTCATTTTTGCAGCTGTTGTGAAAACAGGACAGGCTTGTCAGGGGAATAATTTATCACAACATACACACAATTTGCAGCATTAGACAGCTGCCCACATTATTATTTCACTCCCTGAAAATAATGGCTTTTAATAAGATTAAAGCACTAGAAAGAAATGCCACCTATATTGTTGTAAACTCACCATAAAATCAGTTTGTCTGACTGGATATCAACCTGAACATCTTTAGGTTTCTGAACCTTGAAGTTGATGGTGACATATTTCTTTCTGTCAAACCACAGCGCATGTGCTGGCTGACTGTAAAGACACAGAAAAACTATTAAACTATTAAACTGAAATGTATGATCATTTGTATTCGTATATTCAAGAGTGAAACTTCTTCATAATCAAAAAGATGCAGCACTTACCTCTCCTCTGGTCTGACAATTTTGGGCTTGTTCATTCTAATTCTTGCACCACTAAAACAAACTAAACTTACTACGTTGACTATGGAAAAGTAGAAAGCATGTGGCTTGTTGGTTCAGGCTGTGTGTTCTAATGCTGTGGCCAGGCCCTGGAAGCTATTTATAGAGCAGTTGGTATCAGCTGCTGGGGAGACATGCCTGCCACAGCCCCTTCCCCTGCCCTTTATGGTCTGTCTGTGGAACTCTCGGGAAAACAGATGCATTTTCTGGGTTCTCCAATACTTCAGTCACCCCCGACTGGGTGCTTAACAGGGTGAAGGTGGGGGCAGGGAGACACATAACAGAAAAGGTCATACCAACAAATGTAGAAACTCCACTCAGACTATTGTTCTTCAGTCATGTGACACTGCTGGACCCTGTAGCGATTTGACTAAACAAATAAATCAATAAATCTAACAGTTAATAAAAATGTTTGGTGACATCTCTGGAAATGTAATTAATAATACCAACAATACCTGAAAACAGATATTATACTGGATCAGCTTGCACTGAGGCTCATACTCAATCAGCACTGGACTCAGATTAATTAAGTATAAATAGTTGATGCAAACATGTGTCACTCAATTTAAATTAAATCAGTACAAAGGAAACGTTACGCATTTATACACAAAATGTACTAAGGTGAAGGTTGTGAATCTTCATATTTCTGAGCTGAGAGAGAGTGTGGTCTAACAAGAGTACTAGTGAGTACTAGTGGTGTAGTTGCAGTCAGTGGATCCAGCTCCAGGTGAACCCGCGGGGGTTTGTGCAGCTTAGAGTCGCCCCCTGCTGCTCCGGAGGCTCACACGCCATAGATTTCTCACCGGAAATGCAATTCACAGCTCTGTCTGTGGGGAATGTGGCGCGAGAGATCCTGGCAACCCTGTGTACATACAAACTTCTGCCTGAAAAAAAAAATCGATAAATAGTTTTCTTTCACCTTTTTGTCTAAAGTCTGGGACGTTTGGCCGTTTGTTTCTTCAAATCCACAGGAAGTAGCGTTCACCAAGGAGAAAATGCCCCGCAGACGACAGGTAAGAACAAATGTAGGTCGCACAAGAAGGTAACGTTAGCTAAGTTAGCACCGATGTGTTCCATTCTCCGGATGGGGAGAATGTCCCACCATATTGCATTCAATAATCCGACGATTTAACATGCCAAAATATGGTGGCAGTTACATTAGTTGTGCGTATTTGTAGTCCAGCAAAAAAGAATTTGACTTTATCAGTGATTTTCAATTTTATTTGATGTATGCATATTATGCTTTTGCCAACATTTTGAGCTAAAGTGAAGATAAAACTTAGTGGGCGGTCACGAGCAGCTAAACCAAATCTAAGAATTTAACGTAGGTTTTATTGCAATAAAATGAAGCTTTTGAGATACCATACGTTTGCCGAACGCACCACAATATCACAATAACGGGTATTATATGAATAATACGTAAATTATATCGATTAGAAAGCTCACCAATAAGGACTGCATCTTAAACTCTGAGATTTGTCAATGCAGTTTGGTTTTCAGAGTCTATTAGCCGTATTTAGAAAGCCGGGGCAGCTTAGCTAACGTTACAGGCTAAGCTAACAATAATAATAGGTTGTTGAAGTGCTGACTTGTAGCCTTTACTGTGAAGCCACTACTTGTAACATTATCTGACTAACCTTAGGGTCAGTTGCTTTTTCAAATGTACCAAATGCTAACTGTGGTTAAATGTATTAGCTAGTCATAACTGTTTAGCCTAATGTTACTACAAATGTAGCTAACAGCAAGCTGTCAGCTGTCTGTGACCTTTCTCTCAAAACATGATTACAGAAGTAGTCGTATAAAAACAGTGGGCAAACCCGTAAACAGCTCTTGCTACACAAGAGTCCCTTTGTCCCACATTTTGGGTAACTGAATTTATGAGTCCAATATCAACAGCTATTAGCAAGCTAACCTCATTGACTGACTTTTGTAAGACAAACCCTTATTGTCACGTGTAATTTATTTCCATGAGACATCAGCCTTAAACTTTTTGTGCTGTGATTATAGAATGTGTGTAGGATTTCTCTCATTTAATGTTTTTACCTGATAGAGACACATGGCAGGCAGTGGTTCAGATGGAACTGAAGACTCAGACTCGTCCGCTGAAAGAGAGCAGACCAATAGTTCAGAGAGTGATGGAAACATGCCGAAGAGACAGCGTCTCACCAGAGCCTCTACACGCCTTAGCCAAAGCTCTCAGGGTTGGTGAAGACATTCTGTTCATGCAATATAAAGCTTTTACAGTCGTCTTCATCTCAGCTTGTTCATAAACACAGTGGCTGTTTGACTTTTGTTGCTCCAGACACTCCGGACTTGAAACGAGCTGCAGACCACGATGAATCTCCACCATTGACGCCCACAGGAAATGCCCCCTCCTCTGAATCTGAGCTGGACATCTCCAGCCCCAATGCTTCTCATGATGAGAGCCAGGCCAAAGACCAAGCCAACAGAGACTCAGATAAAGACCTCTCCCATCGACCTAAGCGCCGCCGCTGTCATGAGACCTACAACTTTAACATGAAATGCCCTACACCGGGGTGTAATTCACTTGGTAAAATATCTGACCTTTTGCAGATTTTATTATATTTTAGATATTTTTATTAGATTATTTATAGGAATTAGATTTTGATTTGTATTCCGCCACATCCACTACTATCATAATATTGTATCAATACAAATAACTTAATTTTCTCCATTTGCCCAGGTCACCTCACGGGGAAACACGAACGCCACTTTGCTGTATCAGGTTGCCCTCTTTACCACAATCTTTCTGCTGATGAGTGCAAGGTGAGTATCTTAAAAGAGTCGGCTGTATTTTTGTTGTCTCTGTTGTGCTTGGTTATTCAACACGTTTGTCCTTCCATTTTTTATTTTATCCCCTCATCATGCAACCCCTTTAATATGTTTGATATTTATACATCTATTTACATGATGCCTTTTGGGGAGTCTAGAATGAGTTGCATCAGTCAGTTTAATATCTTAGTCAGACACAAAATAGTTGAACTGTGTTTTTTATTCAAACTTTACTGGGAACGGAAAGCTCAATGAAATTGAAAACAGACAAAAAACACATAAAACAACAAGAATTAAATATCACAGTGTTGCAAAATTACATGTAAAGTCACATATCACTTAAAAAGGTCTTTAAACAGCTTTAAATCAACTTACTAGTGCTATTATACAATATGTTAATCAGGCCTAGAAATGTTTTTGTTTTTGTTTGTTTTTTTTGTTTTTTTACATAAACTGTAATCCATTCTTGTCTCTTGATTTTAGGTGAAAGCCATCAGCCGTGAGAAACAAGAAGAGGAAGTGAAAGGGCAGGAAGAAAGCAACTCACGCCATGCAACGCGTCACCAGGTAGTTCCTTTTTGCAAAGACTAGCGTTACATCATTAGGTTTACTTTTTACCAGGGAGCATATGAATGCTAAGTTTGGCTGCTCAATTAATAGTGTACAGCTTCTCCTAGTACTAGTAGTACTGGCCAGCTCTCATATTACCATGGAAATGACTGATGTATTTTTATCTTGCTTTTCAGACACCAACATCGAAACAGAGCAGGTACAAAGAGCAGGTGGCTGAGATCAGGAAGGGGCGAAACTCTGGCCTGCAGAAGGAGCAGAAAGAAAAGCACATGGTACATCACTGGCGCTCCAACATGCCGTTGTTCATTTGCTGTCACTCCACATTTTGCTGTTACTACTGGTACTGCATCACATAGCTGGTATGTCGTCTCATCTCTGTACCTGCTTCTGTCTGATCCACAGGAGCATCGGCAGACACACAGCAACACCAGAGAACCTCTGCTGGAGAACATCACCAGTGAATATGATCTGGAGCTGTTCAGGAAAGCTCAGGCCCGAGCATCTGAAGACTTGGTAATGGGCGGGTTCATGTTTCCATAAGTATTACTCTTAAATTAAAATTTTCAGACTAAAATAATTACTCATTAATACCAGTTAATGAATGAGAAAAAATTGAACTAATGCAGTAATAACGACTGGGACAAATTGCTGTGGTCCTCTTCTGTAAAGTTGGACCTACTTTGGTGTTAGATACGAACACACTGACCTCACTGTGTATCTCTCTGTTTCTATATCCTCCCCCCCTGCAGGAGAAGCTGCGTATCCAGGGTCAGATCACAGAGGGCAGTAACATGATCAAAACCATCCTGTTCGGCCGCTACGAGCTGGACACCTGGTACCACTCGCCCTATCCTGAGGAGTACGCACGTCTGGGTCGCCTCTACGTCTGCGAGTTCTGCCTGAAGTACATGAAGAGCCAGACCATCCTCAGGCGACACATGGTGAGAGTCAGAATCTCAAAGTCTGCGATGAACCATTGGTGTTGTGTTAATACTGTTGAGCCACAGTGTTTTCAGTGGCATGTTTGATTCTTCTTGTTATTGTAATTATTATGAGCCATCTGACTGATGGCCCATAATAATTACAGCATAAAATAGAGGTCTGTAAATGTTTAAAAAGGATTTAGTCATTACATTTATAGGCTGGCTCCTCCGTAATTTAGAAGTGAGTAATTTTGTTTTTTATTCTAGAAGAAACTGAATTTTGGCAAAATAACTGTTTATTACTCATATCATCATCATACCATGCCTATTGATGCTGCATTACAGCCTTTGAATATATATCTTTTTAACATATCTGTATTGAGTTGTCTGAATGTAACACTGATGTCCGTTGTATTATGTGTGTTTTTAGGCAAAGTGTGTGTGGAAACATCCTCCAGGAGACGAGGTGTACAGAAAAGGAGCTATATCTGTGTTTGAAGTCGACGGCAAAAAGAATAAGGTTGAGAAACTCAAACTTCAAAATGTCTGTTTTCTTTACTCCTGGTTCTGTCCATATCGGGAAATTGGTTACATATCCATTTGTAAACCAAGTGTCACAGACAGTGACAGTGACTGTGTTAAAGTGATTAAATGCTATTTTGTCCACAGATCTACTGCCAGAACCTGTGTTTACTTGCCAAGCTTTTCCTGGACCACAAAACGCTGTATTACGATGTGGAGCCGTTTCTCTTCTACGTCATGACTGAAGCTGATAACACTGGCTGCCATTTA